AATATCAAAATGCGTATGGAATTGGAACCAGATTCATTTGCAAAAGTTACCGACGTTTATTTTGCTACACAGCTATATTAACTAAGTTTTAGTATATGTAATAGACGAATTGATATTTTAAAGAAACGATTTGCTGAACCCATTAAATAGCACAAGATCTACCAATGGACTCTCTGCCGTTGCGTTGTGTGAATCGAATAGTGAATATCATTTTAATTGTTCTGTTAATTAATTTAATTACGCACAATTCAAATACACAGATGTATCGGTGCATAGCCGCTTCGTTGTTATCGTTGGTCGCTATTGTGCGTGTTTTGACCGCCACGTGATATAGTAATGTTTTTTACGCGACAGAGGGCGCTGTTGTACACTTTTATATGCAAATTCAATGCGTAACGCTGGGATATAAAGTAACAGCCTGACAATGTGCGTATGTTGGGGGTATTAATCATTACACGTGGGTGCCATAAATTTGTCTTATCAATTTTATTTGAAGAGATATTAAAAATATGTTTGATATTATTGATTATATTTACCGAATGATCAGATATATTATCTGCCTACAATTTATATAATTATTTATTTTTAACTTTGTGAAGACCATGGCGTCGATGACTGCATATACAGCGTTGTTTTCTACTGGTCTGTTAACTATAAATGCAAACCATGTCTTCAAACCTGACGTAGTTTTCCATCTTCAAACGTCTAACGTGTTACCCATTAAAGCGGGAGGGTCGTCACTTGCACACGCGCGGGAATTGAGTCCCTTGCGACGATAACAACACACGCTAAAATTGCAAAGGCTCATGGGTAGACGCTTGTTTGTAAACAATGGCACGATATGGCCGTCTGACGCATGCGCAGATGACGACTCCACCACTTTAACGACAACTACGTTGTCCAATGTTAGTGCGATGTTCAGGGCACCAGTGATATACTTCCACGGTGTGTTTATCTATAGAGCAATGGATAGTTCGATAGATACATATATGATATCGTCGAAAAACTGTCCTATCTGATTGGTTGGTAATACAGAACATTATTGGCTTCACGTTAGAGATTTACACAGAAACTTAAATAATATAATATTCATTTTATTTTGATTCTTGGGGCACATTTCAAGTTTTATTATTATTTCGATCACCGAATAATTCTCCGCTGTCGTGGAAAAATAAACTCAATCCAACGTACTATTGATTCCCAATAATTGTCTCACTGTTTGCAAAAAACAAAGAATGCTGACCCCAATATGAATCTGGTCTAATTTGATTATTCATAAGTATTATTAATCAAATCACCTACCAATTAAAGTCATTTGATAGTTATAGCCAGCATTACAAAAAAATATAATAATATAATATTTGCAGGTGTGTCCAGTACGATTACAAAATATTCCCCCAACTCGGCCAAAATCAGTATGCGCGTAGTCGGTACGTTAGCGAACTCTGGCCCAGAGAAGTCACAATGTTCGAGATTGTAAGATGAGTTAACGGATTGGTATATATAGTATTCGTTTTAAATCACGCGAAACCCATTAAAGATACTTTTTAATTATTAAGTAATAATACAACCAACAGAAGACTGTGAGTATGTTTGTAGTACTTATATGGTTCAATATTGATGTTTACAGTTAGACTTTTCAGGTCGTGTAAACATCGATATAGATATTTAATTTGAGATGTGTTTTTCAGTACTTGTTCTTGGATAAATCGGACTTTCCAGAATGCGTACAACAATGCTACAATTTGTATTGAAAGCATCGCATGACTAAATTTACTAGGATGGCTGTTGTACTCAATACATGAATTAACAGAATTCAAATTTAAAAATAAATTGTAAAGAATCTCATTATTTAAAGTATACTTTATTTGAATCTACAAGTTTTTTTAACTTTCTGATTATATAATCATGATTTTTGTTTATGCTAATTATTTCACCCCAAAATACTTAGTATTACCTCATTAGTTAATAATCGTTCAATCCCATCAACAATTTCTTGGCCAATACGCGCTCTAAAATACGAGATGTCAGAATTTTTAGGTCCGGGGATGCTTAAATATCGACTCGTTACTACATTCCTTGGAATCTTGTAGATATTATTTGGTGGAAGTAGCCCTACCTACGGTGTTGCGGTAGACGTATCTTCTCCACGACCCAGACTGAAAATAACGGAGGAGAATGGAAATGGCTATAGAGCGCTGAAACGCATAAATTAAGGACATGATCGATTCTAGTGCGAGAACACAGCTTTCTTTGCTTAATTTGGTTACAGGGTATTGCTCAGAATAGTGATTAACTGTCAAGTTTGAAACGAATATATCATCTCGAATTGAAACATAAATAGGGTCCCAGTGTTTTCGGTTATGAGGAGGTAAGACCGTTATTTTAAGGTACAAAGCGAGGTAAACGTACTCGTCTTTGCCCAATCCTTTAGTCGGTTTAGGTATATTTCATCCAACTCTTGACTTGATTCACAGTAGCAACATCGTAACCGCCATGCGAAAACAGAAGCAGCCACTGGCATGGTCGGTAAACAACTAGCCTATGTACCATCACAGACATAGCCGGTCAGTACGAAGCCAACCGAATTGCTCGTTGAACACGTTAATGGTTAAATATTATAACGAAATTATTGTTTTATATCAAATTTACTTATAAAAAACCCATATTTTGAAGTCACAACATAATTGGAGGAAATCTTTTTCTCTGCATTCTTTTTTGAAACAAATACTTGGTTGATTGGTTGTTATTCGCGTCAATGCGTGGACTAACCCAACTCAAATACTTCACCCCAAAATATTTTCTAGTAAAAGTACCTAGACTATCACAAAAACTATGTTCCCATCATGGCCGTTGTAATTTTAGCCTCTGTTTACCGCACTGAGTTCGTAAGCACTTCATTCAGTATTTATAACAGTATAAAGTCACTGTTCCCTTTAATTTTTTTGAATCTTGAAAATACTGTGAAAATTTGCCCATTTTCCCCTTGAAATGTTTTTTCTGCATACAAAATACATGGAACGTTTCTCAAAAGACAAAATTTCACTGAGAAACTACAATTGAATCTGAGAAAATTGAGCAAAAATAAGGCTTAGAGGGAACACTGTATAGGGTACTAAAAATCAAGACTTCAGCAAAATTATCTGATTCCTTAGGTTTACCGGACAAATTACTGTGCAACGTTTATGTCCATTTGACGCGTAACTGATCTTTCTCCATTTGAACTAAACGACGGGATCATGGGTAAAACGGTTTTAGTTCTCGCTGACCGTGTGCCATGTTACCGAGTCACGTGGGCACAATGTACTTTTGTGCTCGCATCACTTAAAAGGCTCTTATACAATTACACTCAACTTGAGATCAGCCAATCAGAAAACACGCTCGTCAAGGTGACCCACGTAATAAGACCCGAATTCACATGACGTTTAATAATAGAGTTCACTTTGGCTCAGAATCGACAGTCTCGATAAACTGCTCCGTCGAAGATGGACACCACTACTGTCTATCCGTTGGATAACTATGGATTCCAGAATACCCAGGAAAACACGGAGTTTGAAGCAAAAGCAAAGACTGCATGGGATAATAATGAAGAAAAACAACCCGAAAGCTCCAAAAGCACCCTGACTCTGTTCACCGAAGAGTCGGGCCTGTCCGGTGTCAAGATTGTAGGCGACAGGAATAGCACGCTTTACAGACGGTAAGGAATACATAATGACGTTTCCTCTGTGACTTGGACGGCGTTGATCCATGTTCAATCACCCTGCCTAAAAAAATCATGTTGAAAACAGCCACTATGAGTCAACCCATAGATTAACAACTGTATTATTATTTAGCATTTTGTATGTGCGCCTTTGATCGTTCACAACAATCATTTTTTTTTCGCTTCAGGGTCATGAACGTTTTATTTTGCCTATTAAATACTGTACGGTTAAAAACGATCAAATAATCGCCATGAACCACGACAATTTAACCAGACCTCAAGATCGAGTCGGATCTGACCAGACTCTGACGTAATTTTGTAAATTTCTAAACTTTAAAAAAATAATATTATCTTGATTTCGAGAAAAAAAATCTTCCTCACACCCGAACACTCTCCAACACTGCAACACACACTGGTATATTACATATTACACGTATGGGACAGATAATCCAATTTTAAAGTAGAACAGCAAAGGAAAGACTGTCTTGACATTTCGTTGAACACGGCATCACTTCGCATGTATGCATCTGGGTGATCTAAGTAAATGTGGATGAGAACATGAAATCACTGACATCTATATTCTGTTACAATGGTAAGGTCATAAAGTACGCACTTAACAAGACTTCACTGTGCGTACTCAATTATGCATTATGCCAGACTGTATGGAAATCTTCATTTACTTTACGACTTAGTTTGAGTTCCGCTACAGGTATAATAATAGCGTGTTTTACAACAGCAGGGTAGACTTATTTGTTCGGAGCGATACATTGAACGGGTGAATGGGCCGCTGGCAACTTCAGCAAAGATGTCAAACTTGATGAAAGGAAAAATAAAATCGCAATGACGTAGCAGGCGAAGAGCCTTTCAACACATGAACGAGGTTCATTACGTGCACGTGAATACATTGTGATTCAAATGTTGAATTTAATTCCACACAGGGACGGATAGTCCTGGGAAATCACTATTCCACTTGAGACAGTGGTTGTACAAAGAATTGACTGTAACACACAGATAGTGGATATCAAGTGCTGGTGGCATCATGCTAGATTGCACCAGCAGGCTCGTTCGACGTTGTTTAAAACGCAAGTCGCTCTTTCACGTATTCGTGCTACAGCCTCAGCTTGTTTCACAGTTTAGACGAACTTCAAATGAAACATTTATACATAAAATCGCGATGTGATATGTACATGTAAATACACTTTTTAAATGATATGACTCGTAGCTACGTTTTATCACGCACCAAAATGGTGGATCTGATGACGTACTCACTCTGAAATGTGAAATGCACATTAAAG